AAGAACTGAACCATTCTGACTTGCAAACTATGCTTTATTTCCTTTGACACATTCTTTGCATAATATTTAAGATAAAGTACTTAAGATAGAGTATTATGTAATTACAGTTGAAAACATTAATAAGGAAAACTTTAATCTTCACAAAATTGTGATTACAGATAATAGACCAAGCTCATAGGGATTTAAACATTGATTATTAGCTATCCTTCATTTTGATATATACAAGGCTAAAACTTTTAGTCCAGAGCATATAACAAAATTACTATAAATTAGTTGTACTTACAAACAATTACATAAAAATAATCTTATTTGGTAATTTGTATTATATTTCTCTTTTCCTGGCCTCTCTTCATTTTTTATTAGATTTATATTTATTTTTAACTCAAAACATTATTTGCATGTATTCCTCCTAATGAGAAATCACGGCTTAAGTCTATGTCCAGGAAATGGTGATAGAGATAGAATTGTCATTCAATGCTTTTGACTTAGAATATTTTAAACTTAATAGCATTACTTTTTAGTTAAATACTTCTGTCCTTTGCAATCTACCTTTTATCACAATAAAATTTGCTTTTTAATGAGAAGAAATGTAGTATCCCAATTATGCAGAGTTTGTTTTCCATTGACTTTTCTAAAAATTATGAGAGGTGCTTTTTCATAATCCAATGTTTAATTTTCTGAAATCCTGCCTCATTTATGATATGGTGCTTTAATTGTATTGGTGTTTTTAATTGTTTTTAAATTTTTTTTCTGGAAAAACATTAAAAATAGAATTATGTTGAAACTATACAAATATCTTAAGGATATCTATACAGTATTGTTTTATAAGACCATTTAAAATAACATTATTGAATTTAAGTGCATATGTTATGATGATTTACATAAATAAACCTATTTTTAATGTTGCAGAAATAAAGAGGCTTTATCACATGTTTGAAGACACATTTTGGACTGTTTTAACTTTTAGACCTATATCCCTTGTGTGTAGGTGTTTATATGATTGTCCTGAGGGGAAAAACTTGTTTTACTGGTAGTGTTTTTCCCTCAATGTAACTGAATAAATTGATGATTACTTTCATTATGATGTGGAAGTAGTTGCATCTGTATGTTACTAGGATTTTGGTTCAAACAGTTCACCAAGTATGAAGTCAGATAAACCAAAAATTACCAATAATAAAATCGTCATCCCACTACACAATGCATAAAAGACAGATTTTTCCAGATTTTGAAAATGAGTTAAAAGCAGTAGAAATGTTTTCTACTTTATTTGAAATATTTGAAATTGAAAATATTTGTCTGCTTTTTACAGGGAATGAAAAATTCACAAGTATCAGTTATTATGATCCTTTAAAATATATTGGCTCTAGAAATTTTTACCATTAATTATTACCTAAACTTGAGGAGAATATTACTGCATATGGAGTCTGTGTCAACTCTTACTATATAATTATGTAATCTGTTTTTATGAGTCTCAATAGCTAATCTTTTTCTACTATCATATAAATAAAATTACAAATCATAAAAGAATGCATTGTCCAATTAATCTTTATTTAGGAAATAAAGTGTAAAATCATGACTTATGTGAAAAGTTTTTCACAAGATAGGTGTATAGTCAGGATGAATGAATGGATGGATGGGAAGGTTGAGATGTATATATGAGCGTATGGATAGATAGTTATTGATCTACACACACACAGGAAGGGATGTGGGGTAGAAACATAAGAGAGCACCCTCTTAGAATTGTGAGGCATGGAATAGGTAATATGAATTTTTCTGTAGTCGCCTTCTGAAGTTGAAATAGAAATGCATAGTAATGGAATGTATTTGATAATATTTAAAGAATGAGTCTCTACAAATACAAAAAAAAAAAAAAACCCGTAACACATAATAAGAACCCTGTCGATCAATGACGTGCATTTTTTCTTCGTGATGTATCATAGCTAGTTTTCACTGTTGCTCTTTCTTTGTACACTTAGCCCAGTTGGCTAAACCACTTGATGGCTTTAATGTGATATAACTGAATGTTTGAATTGTTTTCCACCAAGACCTTGAATCAAGTCACTCAGCCATGGTCTTCTTCCACAGGCCTTCATAATGGACAAAACTCTATTGTCAGAAACTCACCAGCTCTGACTTCTAGGTTAGACAATATGTAGTGTTTTGTTCAATATATGAGGACATATTGCTAATGGCGAATACATTTTTTGACAAGCATGAAAGGCAAATTTAGGGAGTCTACAAACCCAATCAAGATTTATTCTGCCAGCTTTCTTGGCTCTGACAATCGTAGAGATGTCCAAAAATGTTTCCTCTCTCTTTAGCTTTTGCTGTCGGTTTCTCTCTCCCTGCCTTCTCTTTACACTTCTAATAATATCAGATTAAATGTTCTCATTGGGTTGGAATTGGATGACAAATATGTGAGGATATAATTAGTGTCATATGCTTTTAATGTTTTAGTAAGATTTTGAATTTGCAAAACTCATGTAATGAAACAGGTTTCAACATGTCTTAGATGACCAGATAAAATGTGGTCACCCTCAACTGGAAAAATATTCTGAAGAAAATTTTGAAGAGAAAGATGAAAAAAAGATAAATCATGATAAAAGTGGAGAGAAGAAGGTGGCGTTAAACTTTATTAAATATAGATGCAATAAAAATAGAACATTAGGAATTCGATGAACAAAGGAACACACCTGCTGGAGGCATGAAGTGCTTTAAAGGCAGCAGTAAAAGAAATATAACTTCTTTGTGACCAACATGCATGGCAATTTTCAGTGAATAGTTAATAACCATACCTAACTTTTGGTTTTTGATATTTGTTTGTTTAACCTATTTAACTTTTCTCAACGTTGTCTCCTGATTTTATTTACGCTGTATTCTGATGTTTCAATATGACAATTCAGACTTTATCTAGAACCAAATATTTGTGTGTTCCACTAAAAGATAATCAACTCTTAAAGTAGTATTAAGATAATATGAAAAATTGTTTTCCTAATAATCTTTTAATATTTAAGTAATATACTTACTATAAGTATTCACATAGAAATATATCTGCCTTTCCCAAATTGTTTCATATAACTCAGATAACCCACAACTCACACATTCTGCATGACATTAATAAGTATTCCAAAAAACCCCAGCTCTGGTTCAACTGGTTTGCAAAACATTGCATGTGCTATGTATCTTCCTCTTAGAGTTTCACAGAGCCCATTGCATATTAATGGCTCTGAGAGGACTTAAGTAAAAATAGTAATACTGATGATGCTGTTAAACCAAATCTCTTTCCTAAACAGTTTGAGAAATACCAAAATATGTACATGAATTACATGGTTGGACTTATAAATGGGTAATTTTACATTGTTATATCAATTAAGGTACAACCTAATACCATAAAAAGAGTGTCTCCTCACTTCTGCTCCCAAGTAATCATCCTTATATTTGGTAGGGATTTATGTGGTCCTGTGCTAAACTTTATAATTACAGGCTGGAAACTAGATTATTAACAAGCTCTTCCCTATCACTTCCTGATATTAATGAAATTTTCCTATATTTTTAATCCCATTCATTCCCTTGGTTTTTTCCGTAATCTTTTAAATCCACTGCCAGAAAAATCCCCTTTGAATCTTGACCCAACTCATCACTTTTTGGGAAAAAGTTTTATTCCTGACAGACTACTTTGGCCTACTTTCCAGCTTCACCCTTTAGTTCTCTCCTATTAATGTGCCCTTCCTTCAACATCCAGGCCTTTGGAACTCTTTGGGAAGCTCCTCTTTATTTTTTTTGAGATGGAGCTTTGCTCTTGTTGCCCAGGCTGGAGTGCAATGGCACGATCTTGACTCACCACGACCTGTGCCTCCCGTGTTCAAGTGATTCTCCTGCCTCAGCCTCCCTAGTAGCTGGGATTACAGGCATGCGCCACCACGCTAGGCCAGTTTTGTAGTTTTAGTAGAGATGGGATTTTCCCATGTTGGTCAGGCTGGTCTTGAACTGGCGACCTCAGGTGATCTGCCCACCTCGGCTTCCCAAAGTGCTGGGATTAAAGGTGTGAGCCAATGAGCCCAGCTGGGAAGCTCCTCTTTCTGTTCTGTATTCAGCCTATACCTGTTCTCAGTTTTCTTACATATGAGAATAAATACAAATTTGTGCCAATATGTAAATAACATTCCCCTTCAGAGACATATTGACATTTTGATATGGAACAATTATTGTATCTCGCGGGAGTGAATCTTGTAGTGTTAATTCCAGCCTCCCTCAATATAGGTGTTCTTTTTTTTTTTTTTTTTTTTTTTTTTTTGAGATGAAGTCTCACTCTGTCATGCAGGCTGGAGTGCAGTGGTGCGATCTCACCTCACTGCAACCTCTACCTCCTGGGTTCAGGTGATTCTCCTGCCTCAGCCTCCCAAGTATCAGGGACTACAGGCACACACCACCATGCCCGGCTAATTTTTTTGTATGTGTTAGTAGAGATGGGGTTTCACTATGTTGGCCAGGCTGGTCTTGAACTCCTTTGTGATCTGCCCACCTCGGCCTCCCAAAGTGCTGGGGTGCTCTTTATTCAGCTCAGTTCCACAGGTCCATACTGAGGCCTCTGGAAGACTGGAGGAGAGTTGGATAGCTCTTGATCTACTTGATCCTACACATTGAGCTTTCAGGGCTGACTGATGAAGAGGATACAAAATACCAGTGTCTTTAAGAAACTATACTACCACCACATAGTGGCTCCTTAATCCACACGAAAATCAGCCTTTTCTTTGATGTGCAAATAGTGACCTCGATGGCTTTGCCCAAAATGTCTTTTGGGTCTGTCATCTGCTAGCAGATTTGGTTTTCAACTTCTGGCAATTTTGATTTAGCCACCACTTATTTACATTAGTACCCCTGGTCTATTCTGCATTCTACTGTTTGTCACCTATGTGCCCTTGGGGGATATTATCTATGTATTTGATTGGTCTCAAAGATAGCTGCCTTAATAGTAAGCTGGTGTCTCTTTTTGCTCACAGGGGTGCGTCTTGACAGAGTACGCGGAGGTCGGCAGAAGTACAAGCGCAGAATAGATGCGGAGAACAGCCCATACCTGAACCCTCAGCTGGTTCAGCCAGCCAAAAAGCCATGTAAGTACAGCAGATGTGTCTGGCTTCCCAGAACGTGAAATCCTCCCAGTTGGCCCTACGTACATCAGCTTTGGCATGCCCATCCCTACTGACTCCAAGGAGACTTCTCTTTGTTGGAGAACAGTGGCTCTACTCCCAAGGATTGTCTGTGAGGAGGAACAGAAACTCAGCTAATTATCTTGTTTTTTCTTTTAAAGATATCGGTGGTTTTCTCTCTCCAGCCTTCTTTTTACCTAGTCATTTTGTGGAAGCATAAGCATATTAATGCATAGCTTATACAGTGTGAATTTTACGTTTACTGGTTATCTTTATTTGCAGAGGTACATAAAATGGATCATATTGTGATCATTAGTTCACTGGAGCTGTTAGTTTCAGATTTCACAAGAAAGTGATTTTTGTAGTTTTCACTAACTAAATGAGTTTGACTGCTCAACCTCCCAATGAAAATACATTAGGGGCCTCATTAATTTGAAGCTACAGAAGGTTAACACAATAGCTAGCAATAGATTAAAACAAGAATGGGCACTACTAATAACAAGCATAGGTTGCTAGTTCCATCTGAGATGCCCTTATGGGTGATATGAATTGTTTTTAAAGAGCTCATGGTTTTATGTGGCCAAGTTGCAATTTGAAAGGATGACTGGTACATTGCTAAAATGCAAGCCCCATTCTTTTTGTCATTAACTAAAAAGAGTTGGACTATAGATTGAGGCAATAACAGTATCCCATTTTCTGAAAATCAGTTAATAGTTGCAGTGCAATAGAACTAGCGTTTTAGGATGTTTATGAATAGGGTTCCTACTGAGCATGGAGGAGTGCTTTGGTGAAAACAGTTCTCACATTTAGCTGTCTTTGTCTAAGAAGATACAACCGGCACTCACCAGAGGAAAATGCATCTGTAGCAGTTCTAGGAAAGACATAGGTAATTTTTGATCTGCCTCCAAAGAAGAGGTGTCTACTTCTAATTCAGATTCTCCAGGAGGGGTCACTGCTGTGCATCATACATATGTGAGCATATGGGGATCTGTTAAATAAATAAAACAGACCCTGAACTGTAAATGAAAGGACATTTTAGCTATGTCAAAGGAAAAACAACCAGTTTTACATAAAATTAAAGCTTAAGTGAACATATGGCATAGTTTCCTTTTGCCTTTCCAAAAAACATTATGTTGATTATACCTTCAATTGTCCAATCTGGCATCTTCTCCTCAGCCTGCATAAGCCGTTTGGCATTCTGCAAATACAATCGAGGACTGCATTAAGCAGATTTTGCACATTATAATAAAAAAACTCTCTGATAATACAATAAAATGCAATAAACATTAATGCTTAATTTCATTAGAGGTTTAGTTTTCCTGAATTCACTAATATACAGACTGCCCGTTTCTCATTTATTTTATACAAATGTTGACTGAAACCATTGATAATTTCCTTTACTGAAAGAAAAACGAGCGCCACCCCATTTGTAAGTTGAAAGGATAGAGAAACGTCTATAGTTTTCTTCGTAAACCTGAGAAATTGGGAAGTGGCTTGTCAAGTACCTCTAAGAAGATTACAGCAATTTCAGTGAGCTCCATTTGTCTGAGATAAAGAGGACTCCTAATAAATCATTACTCATTATCTAAAGGCCTCTGTGTTAATTTTCCTTAGTCCATCCAATTAGTGTGTTTTTGTAACAAACATTTATAAAACTTAATTTTCAGATCCTGTCAGATAAGTGTCAAGAGACTATGCTTGGGCTTTTCTGAGAAAGTGGCTGGGGAGGTTTCTGGACCCTGACTGATTGTGTACTACAAAGGCCCAGGAATGAAAATTGGGTTCTATTGATTCTAATTAGGGAAACATTAAATAAGATTTACCTAGAAAGAGTGCTGCCGGCTATTCCTTTTCTGAATGATGGGAATTTCTAAACTTTAGCCAGATTTCTCTGACCCCTCATGTCAAGTATCCATTGACTCGGATAAAGCCAGTGCTATGTTCCCTGTACTAAAAAAAACTGGAATCATGATTACCTTTGGACATGTTTTCCTGCTCTTTACTATTGTATTTGCTTCTAATCCTGAGAATCTAGTGGTTGCTGACAGGTTTTGTTGCATTGTCAGAGCAATGAAAGTTGAAACTTTTCCAAGCATAACTAAAAATACAGGGTGTTGTTTCTGTAGCATATTTAAAAGAAAGCCATTTTCTGTCGATCCTGCAAATTGAAAATTAATCTCTATTTGATTTTTAATTATTTTCTAGAAAACAGTATTGGGGAATATTTCCTCCCAAATCTGCCTATTCCATTTGATGATGATAGACTATTATCTGTTGTCTATTTGAAATAAGTGTAATTAATATGGGAGCCATATTTAGAAATTTTTTAAATGTTAGAAAAAGTGCTAACGATAGCTTGGACAAGTCTCATTCTTTCATGAAAGGAGATAAAAAGAATGCTATGTCTAATTCCAAGTTATGTGAAGTCTTTTATATTGGGTTAAAAACTTACAGCAAAAGGCAAAGAGTCTGGTAAACACATTGGGAACTTTGGCTGTGTTCACAAGAATCTCATTTAAAGTCCTGGTTTCTACAGTAATAGTACATAGAACATTTAAATATATGGGTTTATTCTTACCCATTTGTATCTCCTCACTTAGAATAAAATATAAAATCTTAAGCTACATATAGAAATTGAAAATAGGGCCAACAAGAAAAATCATTCTGTTAGCAAGGCTTTACAGCCTCTTCCATAAACTCTCACATGCCCCTGAGCAATAAAACACATTTGATGTGATGCCCTCCATTTGTCTCTAGTGTTTATTTTGTGAAGGATTTTTAAAGCATATATCACAAATTTCAGACAGATAAATCTGAACAGAGAATGAACTAAGGACAACAGATGAAAATAGAGCATTAAAGAATTTGACACACAGAAGAGAAAATGACTGTAACATTTAAGTAGGAGTATTTTTATGGAAACATATTAGCTGTATTTGGAAGGTTGGCTGGATGTGTGGGGAGCGAGAGAAAGAAGAAATTCCTATTTAATGCATCCCACGGAGATAGAGTTATACAGTCAGTAATTCACCAAGGCAGAAGGGCTCTGACCTTTGCTCTTCTTTAAAGGAATTAAGACAATTAATGACTTTCATGCCCATTATGACTATGGGCATTAGTAGTTCTTTGCCTCCTGCATTATGGTCTATATTTCAGTGGTGTACTGGGGGTTTTATTGTAAGCTGTTGTATACCATTTAATCTACTTCCCAAATCCCACTTAAGAATCAAAGCACAAACTCAGAAAGCATCTAACTTCTCTTATCTGTTTGCTATAAAAATTTTCACTACAGGACAGATGCTTCATTCCAGCAAAAGCAGGTAGAGCAAAGAAGAAAAAAACGACTACCTTCTATCATGACTGCAATGGCTTATGTCTGGCTATGAGCTTTCCTGAACACTGTTTAATATATACATCTAAGCCATAATTGGAATATTTAAGGTTTATTGTAGGCTATTTGGATTGTTTTTCAAAGCACAAAATACTCTAGGGTTTATAAAAGAGGGATGTTACTGCTAGTGATCTTGTAGTGCTCTGGTCTGATCTTACAGATAACAAGATTGTCTCACATTTGTTGGTGGCTGAACCGGAGAAGATCTATGCCATGCCTGACCCGACTGTCCCCGACAGTGACATTAAAGCCCTCACTACACTGTGTGACTTGGCGGACCGCGAGTTGGTGGTTATCATTGGATGGGCAAAGCATATTCCAGGTACGTTTTCTAAAAAGAAAAAGAAAAGTTTGCAATTAATTCCCTAGGTTATGTATATAGATTTGGGCAAATTCAAATTTTTTTCATTTGGACTTAACAAAAATTCTTTATGTTTATTTTTAATCATAATTTAGAGCTTTGCGTATCCTAATAGAATCCTTAAACTTTATATTAGTTATATTGGTACCACCTTGAGTTCGTGTTAGTTTTTCATATGTACAGGTACTACTGCCAGTGTAAGCTAACGAGATTATAAATTTTAAAAATTATTTATCCTTTGTTAAAATTCTTACCTTTTTCCTAGCAAATACTTCTCCTTTCCCTTTGCACTTTAAAAAGTGTTTTTGTCAGAGGCAGTCTAATGTACTATTTTCTCAACGAGAAATCACTAGTTTTGCTCATAGTGCCTAGTTATATTCAATTGCTAGTCATAGTCACAAGCTTTGCTTTGGTTTACTATTAGATATTTATCTTAACTGTACAGATAAATTGTGAAAATAAATATTAAATGCACATGGTAACTTTTCCTATGTGGTAAAGTTAGCATTTAAAAATATTTCTCTTCTTTTTCCTCTTGACTCATCTTGTAATATGAATCAATACATACATGCTTGTAAGTTTTGAGAATTTAAGTATTCTACTTGAATTATTTTTTCTTTGGTCTTTAATTTTCAAATAGTTTATAAACAAATTTTCAAATGATGAGCAATGTTTTTCTGGTACAGTTAACTTATTTCTGTCTCCTTAAACTAGTTTGTCTTTATGCTTTGAATGCTACAGTAATTTCTTTAATCAAATTGATGGAAGTCCCTTTCCCAGCCCACACTGAAACCAATTTATTGGTCATGATACGCCAGCTATGTTGCTAACAGTCGTAACGAACTGTCAGGCGATACCGCAGTGAAGCTAATTTGAAGTCATTAGGTGTGCAGCGTTCAGGCGACAATTTGTTACAGTGGTTAGGAACACAGCTGACATTTCTGAATGGCTTTGTTCGTTGCAGTTCTAGATGAGGCCAAGCAAATTGTAAACTAATTTAAACATCACTCTGTATTATACCAGCTACTTTGTCTTACACTGTTTGCTAATAAAACCCCTCAAATTAAGTCAAAACTACTTAAATAGGTGAGCTTGTATATTCTTTAGAAGACACCTGCCCAAGGATTACTACATCTAAAGGAAGAATAAGAATTTGATCATGTGGATATTTGATATTGCAGTTGGATTATAATCACATCTATATGACTTTTAGAAAAATAAAAAGAAAGGATTTATTACAAGATGTAAAACGATTGTTGACTACGGCAGTGGGAACAGCCAGAATGTAGTTCAACAGTATGTGAAAAAGTATTTGTAAGGAAAATGTTAGTGAAGGGTTTGAGAGACCAAAGAAACAAGACTAACATTTGTTGAAGTGTCCATACTTTTTTAGATAATTGATATACATCATTTATATTAATATATTATTATATACATATTAAATATCATTTTTCTCACCCAGGGTTTCTCAGCCTTGGCACTATTGATATTTGGGACAAGATAATTCTTTGTCATGAGGGGCTGACCTGCTCATTATAGGAGGTTTAGCGGCACCCATGGCCTCTACCCACTAGATGCCAGTAGCACCCCTGAATTGTGAGAAACAAAAATGTCTTCATACACTGCCAAATGTCCCCCAGGAGGTGAAAGCGCACCAGCCTGACCCTCCTCCCCCAAATTGAAAGCCATTGTTCTAACCCAGGAATCGAGTATTAGTTTTTTCAATTCAAAGACAGAAAGATTTGAGGCAGAGAGAGGTAAAAACACTAGCACAAGTTCACAGATGTACCCAGTACCTTCAGCATGGCTTCCTGGAGGAGAATCAAGATATTTTAGTCTCTAGTTGATGGCATTTAAATAAACTACTTCAAAATGATAATGTTGATAGTATTGTTATTAACAACAGCATGAAAAGCTATGTCACTGTGGCTCCACACTACCCATTATTTCAGAGAATTCTGCTCAAGTTCTCCCTGATCTGTAAAGCCAATATTTTGATATCAGTTTGATAAAACATGATAGAGATCGATAAAAGTCAACAATTTCTTTTGAACTTTCTAGTAAGGAACGTCAGTGATAAATTTGTAGGTCCGACTATGCATCCAAGTAGAAATGTCAGCTTACAAAGGGACTTGTCACAGTAAAGGGGCTCTAGTGACTTTAGTAAAGATAGCAACTTTAAATAGCTATGAGTAACACCATTTCCAGTGGTGGAAACAATTACTATACGATTATGGGTTCGGTCTTAAGCTGAGGCTTAGAATTGGTGGGGACTGACGTTATTCTCTCTCTATAGCAAATGTCAGAAGAGTTCACTGTGGAGTGATGATTCACAGTTCTGATTTTCATGATACCCTGAGGGTGTTTTAAATGATTGCGAGGAATATCTTGGCTTTTCAGAAAGGGATTAGCAAAACAAGAGTTAACAGAAATTCAAAAAGGAATTTTAACAATACCTATGCCATACAGTGCTTGAGGTAGAAGGAGAGGGTATTCCGGTATCAAAGCACGCCGCTGCCTTACCCGGGGATCAGGAGGTTGGTCGTTAGAGGACCACGCAACTATATGGAGTGAGAGACAGGGAGGTAAAGGCATGGAGAAAGTAAAGATTAAAGTCACATTTCTGCCTCGGTAAAAGTGAATTCGTGTTCTTGATAACATGAACCAGTCCTGATAACTGGGGTCATAGCCAGAATTAAAGCCAAATCAGAGCTGAAATTTCATCTGTTTTGGTCTTAACTTTAAAACTCTTTGTTTTTGTAAAGCTTATGTTAAAGTGAAGTCATTTTTTTAATACACTAAAATTCAAGCCCCTGTTACCTTTATGCTCTTCTCAGTTTGTATAATTATACCCATACATATATATATATATATATATATATATATATATATATATTTAAAATTAAGTTTAGCATCTAAAATGAGTAGCTTTTCTGTGCTGCTTCTAATATACTTTTATACACTTTCTTTTTGCTACATAAAAATGTGACGAATACAACAAAAGAAAATATTGAAAATACATATGGAAGGGGTTTTATCAGTAAATAGAATTAGTTGACTTACATTAATAAATCATATAAATGGGAAAGTGTGTTGTTATGAAACATGACCATACTTTATCTAAAGAAGAAAAAAGATCACAAGGGCTTTAGAAAATGCTTGACTTTAGTTGGAGGAGCATAAGGGCACAAGAACAGATGATGGTGCCCTAATAGCCCTTTTTAAGAATGACAGGGCCCAGCCATTAGCATCCTTTTATATCCTTGGAAATTGCTCATGCCTCGCTTTTCTGGTTCCTATCTGCCTGACTCTTTTTTATTTCTCTTTCAATTTCGTCCGCGCTCGGATAAGCGCATGCTAACACAATATGATTGAGCTGTAAAATGGAACGCTGTCGCCTCTAATCTCTTTTATGTAGATACGGAGGTACTGCACACTCCACTTCATTCTCTCTCCATTGTTGGCCTTTTTTAGAATGGGTTGCCAAGTAATGGAGGCGCCGTCAAATATTAGAGCTAGGTTTCACAGGGTGTGATAAGACGATTATCAGCCCAACATTCAGATCTGTTATTGTTCTTTTTGGTTGATTAAAATATTATTATGTACTATAACTTTGTTAGCAAAATGCAGAATGTGCTTAGTCAGATGATGCTTTAAAAAGCATAACCCATATTAGCTGACCTATATAAGTGGCTTAAATATATGTATGTATCTTGCCAGACAACTTGGTTTAAAAGAACAGACTGGTATTTTAACAATTAAGTGAATGAATGCATTTTAGAAAAAAATTGTCCTTGTTTAATATGGCAGATTTTCAGGTCTGCTTATTTTTAACATGACAAATTAAATAATTACCTATTGAAGAAAGGCGGACTTTGCTCAAGTCTGGGGGCCTCTATTACATTTTTCAAATGATATCTATTGTAATGGTATCAAATAGAAAAGAAAACTATATTTTTTCTTCATATTAACTGGAGGTAGGAGATATTAAGCTCTAAAAAACATTACACGAAGAAGATGATATAACAAAATGGTCTAAGTATATGTATTCACATAAGAAGCAAAAATCTATACCACATAAACCAATATTTACTGTTTGCCCTGAAATATTTTTTAAATAAAAAATTTAGTTAGGAGAACATATCAAAAATCGCTTATTGGCTTAACTTTTTACAGTTTTCTTAGAAGCATTTAGACTTTTCCAGCAATTACAGGAATCTAAAGAACATGGGTAAACTGTTTCTATGTTTAGGATATAAGCTTTGAAAATGAATGTGTAAATATTTACTGTTAAAGATACTGCTCGAAGATATACTTATTGTTCTAATAAATTTTAGAGAGACCAATTTTTAAGATTATATTATCGACCAACCAAAATTATGGTGGTTTCATTTTTAAAATACTCATTACTGGATATTGATGGGTAAAATAGTTGTCTTAAAATGGTAGCACCATTAAGTGATTAGGATACATGGAAAAGCACAATAAAATATGGCAGAAATAATTTAAGGTTATGATTCTATTTGTAATGTAAACTGTTTCCATGTGTATATGTGTGTGATTAAAGTTTGATGTGCAGGAAACAGGACATGGTTCACTAAGGGTGAGTTATACCATGTGATAGTAACACCTTATATACTCTGTTTTGGATCTGTATCATTGGCACTTAAGAAACGTTTATTGATTAGTTGACTAAAAATATGCATAGCACAAAACTCTCAATTGACTCTAAGTTTCCACCCTCTACTCCATGCCATAACTCAATTTACATAGACTTATAATATTTCTACTTAGCTATGAATGAAGTAAAATACTTGCAGCCTCTTTTTTCAGGATTAACTTTTCTTTTGCATATGTAACCTACTGATTTTAGAGCTGTGAGGTAGTTAAGTCTTTTAGTTAAGTGGAAGAAAGTTAAATACAAGACCCAAAACCTTGGCACTTAATAAGACTGTTTAAAT